CTCATTCTGGAGAAAAGGTAAAAGTGGTGGTGTTGGGGTTTTTATGTTCATCACAAAACCCTGAATAACATGCTTTATTAATACTGTGTTCTGAGGTTTAAAGATTAACATATGCCTTTTTGTGAACCAAATAGAAGTGTCTATAGTTGCAGAGAGGAGAAAGGAGAAAAACTGGTGTAGTCCATGCAGTTTGTGGCAAAACTGCAGACTCTCAAGTTGCTTGATGCAGTAACAGAGTTTCTAGTTCAGAGCTTATATCCAAAGTAAATGGTCAAGTCGTACCAGCAAATGAAATGGTGTGGGTTTGGTTTTGGAGTTTTTCAGGCGTATTTAAAGCCATCTCTTCTCTAAGATGGTGAATATTCAGAAGTAAAGGTTTCTTAGAATGTTTGCATTTATCAAAAAATGTGAAATCATAATTCTGGCAAAATATGTGTCAGCCTTCACATTGAATTAAATATTTTTTTAGACCCTCAGAGATGAATGTGGTTTGTATCTGGTGTTAAAACAACTGACAGTGTTTCTGTTTGTTTGCCTTAGGAATTGCCATATATATTGCATCTAAGCCTTTTCTGATTATAAAATATGTTAGCCCATGCCCTCCTCTGTGTCTGCTTGTAGCAGTGTTGCAGAACTGATACTCTCTTGAGGAGGGATCTGCACATCATTAACATGAGCGGAAGAAATTTATATTACAAAAGGAATATTATTTGCCTTTTTGGCAAAGAATGGCATGTGAACAGAATTCTCAAAGTTAATTACTAATTGTGGTACAACAGCCCAAGATTATTGTTTTCCCAAGTTGGCCATCTTTATGCGGGCCTCACAGAAGGTAGCAACTCTTGCACATCTGTTTTATGAGTCTTTTATCACTTACTCTGTGTGTAAAACTTAACTTGTAATTTGATAAGTATTTACCAGCCCTCACTGAAATCTAGTATGCTCTTGAAATAAAATGCTCTTCTGTCAACAGCTAGTCTACTAAAAAAATTACAGTTGCTGTCAAACTGATAATGTGAACAACCTTTGATAATGGGTGGCTGTGTTCTTTCTGTAGGTTTGGCAGTTTTCCACTAACGGACCGGTGTTTTCATCTCCATGCATCTCCAGTTTAACTAAGCAAGAAATATTTTTTGGCTCCCATGATTGCTTTATCTACTGTTGTAACATGGAGGGTAATTTACTGTGGAAGTTTGAAGCCACTTCAAGTGTATATGGGACACCATTCATTTTCCAAAGTGATGACTTAAAGAACAAAATTCTTTTGGCAGCAGTATCTACAGATGGCAAAGTGTGGATCCTGAATGCCAAGAGTGGAACAGCAGAAGGAATAGATAAGCTTCCAGGAGAGGTTTTCTCTTCCCCTGTAGTATGGGGAACAAAGCTTGTTGTTGGCTGCAGAAATGATTATGTTTATTGCCTAGATTTGTATCTAACAGGAAAAAAAGAACATCTAAGATGTTAGGCTGCTTCCTTTTTATTGTTTACATTTGTAAATGAAGAACTGACGGGTGCTGTCTACCTCTGCGTATTTTACTGTAGGCAAGAGGTGCTCTCTGCAGACGTTTTGGGTAGCATTTTGCACCAGGCAGTGTCCGGAGTAGGTAAAGCGATGTTTGTTGACTTGCTGTATTGATTGAAGGAGGATGGCTGCTCAGCACCCAGCCAGAAGTTTCACTGTCCCTCCCTCATTTTCCAACTCCAGTTAATGAAAGAACATGTTTCAGATGGTTTGGATGTGCATGTTGTGCTTTGACCTGTGTAGTGAGAAAAAGAAAGTCAGTAGTTTTGCTTCAAATGCTTGCAGGATTGGGAGAATCTGTGGTAAGGTGCCATACTCTGCAGTTTCGAAAAACATGCTTGTCTCCCTGAGGGAGGAAAGTATTCCTCTCCGAGTCCAGCCTAGCCTGTGCCCTGAGGTTCCTCCCGGTTCCTTCCTAGCCTGTGCCTGGCTCTTCCATGCATCAGACCAGTGTTTGTCTAGTCCGATGAGGTTTCTGTGCCCTGGCAGGGTAACCCAAGTCCTCTTCTGAATCTAACTTTTAGCTTGATTTCTGAAGACACAGCCTGCATTGCATGTACCTTGTAGTAGTGACCTGTTCACTATAGTTTATGTAAACTGAATAGTTCATCTTTTGTGAACCTAGGCCCTCCTTGGCTTCAGTTCTGTCAAGCATATACTTAAACTCGGTTGAAGTCAGTAAGAGCTACTTCTTGTATTCTGAAGTGGAGAAGATACTCACATGTGTATATTTATTAAATTCCAATGACAGGTACAGTACTAGTTCCCAGATGAAGTTTGCACTGCTCAGATCAGCCATTATCAAATCATTTTTTAAGAGATTTTTTGAATGAATGCTCTCTACAGTGTCTTTACAGAGAACTATTAATAAAGGGTTGTGTAAATTGGTTTTGGTTGTCTTAAATGCCTTAAAAGGAATTATCAGTGGTCTTAGTAATGCAAATCAAGTATTTGCAGTGACAAAAGTATACTTAACTGAGAGCATCTTCCTAATTATGAGTCTTCTAAAAGAACTATAGCAGAAACTATTATATCACTCTCTGATGAGCCATCTACTTTGAATTCTAACGTCTTGCATTAAACAGTAAAGTAGAAGTTGCACTGGCTTTGTTGCTTCATCACATCTGGTTCCTCCATTTTATCATTAGCAGAAATGCATAGGCAAGATACTTGTAGCACTGTAAAAAGTTCTATTTATAAAGCAAACCTGAACTACACGATTGGCAAAAGGAGACACAGAATACATACATCATCGATTAGATAATTTTGACTTGGTTATAGTTTAATAAGAATTAAAATGACATTAGTATAATAAACAATTGCACTTTAAAACATTTGAAAAATTAAAAAAGTACACAACAAATACCCCACAATTATACATCTTACAGTTTTTGTACATTACTATATGAACATAGAGGTTAATCATATATAACCTTGTCAGAAGAAATGGTATTTTGTGTGTATAAGTTACAAAAAAATTGAGACAATATACTACATAGTGGTTTGTTCGGTTCTTAAAACATTTTTGCTGTTTTAAACTCGGTAGTAATGTTTTGGTTTTATTTTTACAGATTTCCAACACTTTATCAGAAATGGTTGCAACAAAGCTAAAGCAAAGTAACACTTCACTTCATTGGTATTTAGTGCAAATTTTTGTTAATTTAACATGAAATGTCACTGTTGAACATGTACACTTTAGAAATGTTTCCATCAAGTACTGTACATAATACAGTTTCCATTATTACACTAGATACCTTTATGGTTGAAAAAAACCTCTGCTTTGAAGCTTTAGACTAAGACCATCCTTAATGAAAGCTCTAATCTATGTGCTATAAATGTATTGTATTGGAAAATTGCATCCTTATGTCATGCACAATAGCACCTATTTTTGCTATGCTTTTCAGAATACCAGTATCTTTAATTCTTTAATCCTGATTTACTTTGCCTTCTCTCTGTTTCTGCCTGGCTCCTTCTCCCAAGAAATAAGCATAAAGGTGGATTTCAGGCAGTTGAGTTCTTGTAATTATAAAAACATACTGCAGGCTTATAAACTCAGAAAAAGTGTAAATTTAACTTAAGATGCGCTAATTCATGGTGCTAGCAGAGAAAAAATAATTATGGACCTGATTCTTTCTTCAGATAAGCTTGCAGAGATTTGACTTTGAAGGCATTAAGTTTGGGGTTTTTTCCCCAAGGATTTGAAAGCAGCATTGCCCTATCTCTGTATAAAACATTTTAAATACTTATATTAAAGGTAAAAAGTTACTTTAGAGATTCTGGTTTTAATATGAAACTGAGCAAAACTGATGGCTTAAGAGACCCAAGAAAACCCATCTTGCTGCTGCCCATCTACTCAATCTAACACGTCCATTGTGTTTGTGCTATTGTAACCACAATACTGAACCGTTGTTTTCTGTTTGGTGGGAAACAGTGTATTCAGTAATGACTTTTGCTGACAAGCCCTGTTTGGTTCTTGGAATGGGAGGATACGGCAGGTTTCATTCTGTTTTCTGCCTAATTTAAAGTGCTACTCCTCCTGCTGCACACAGCAGTTTGGCTAAAATACTTCCATGAAACATAGGTGGTATCATTCTAGAATGATGCAGTTTCTTCTCATGAAAATGTCTCCCTTTATGATGTTGTAGGCTTAAAGGTTCCTTTGAGCCTTATGGTTATAAGAAGGAGATGTTCAAATTTGTTAAAGACTTCCTTGTAAAACAAACTTGTGTGTGTTTTTTACTAGGGTGTTATTTACTAGGGTGGCTTTTAAAAATATAGACCTAGCTATTTCTGTGGGATGTTGAGGACAGCACAATTTTTATTACATTATGGACTTTATCATTTTTTGTAAGAGGAGGGGGTGAACATTTCTATTTTAGTTACAAGAAGTAATAAAGTGTTCAATTGCCACAGCAGATACCTGAGACGGGGTAAGTAAACTTCTTTCTGAAGCGTTCTGGCTGTCTTGGTCAAAGTACAGGAAGTTATCTGAAGTTGCACATGGAGTAAAATCAGGAAGAACGCAGAGTTAAAACTCCTGAGACACTCACTGACTTAGCTTTCAGTTCTGCAAGTCTTACTCCTGTGGGAACTTACTGAGACAAATTCTACAGCTACATAAGCACAGGAATAGTTTTACTTATTTTAGTTCCAGTCAATTGATTTAAAGTTGTAATCTGCAATCGCTGTCTTGATGCATCTTAAACATGGCCAAGCACAGTGATGCACTTAAATGACTAGAAGGAACGCTAACTCCCTGGCTTCTCTGAAAACTTTCTGATTTTTGTTTAAATAATGTGGGGTGTTTTTTTTTGTTTTTATTTTTTTTAAGTAGGATGAATTGTTTTCTTCCTAGGAGTGAGGGAATATAGACATCGTGTATTAATCCTGTGATGAAAGAAATTACCTCAGCAGGTGGATGGTACCAACTTTCTACTTAATCATTTCCAGGTGGAACGATATCTCCCAAAGTTCTTCATTAGGGAAGAAGCTTTCAAAGAGCAGGTGGAACTGACAGTTCATACAGTTTAACACTTAAAAAAAAATCAGGAATAAGAGAAGGGAACATGCATCTTGCCTTAATTTTCAACAGTGGAATGTTGAGAAAGATTTCTGAGATCTCCACTTAAGTGAAGAGATCTAAACTTCCAGAACCGAATACCCGCAGAGCTTCGGAACTGAAGTTCTGGCCCTTACTATGATACTCACTAGAATTTACATCCAGTATCTGAGCATTCTTAAGTTTTTGAGAGAGTCTGGCTCTGAAATTTTTGCCGTGACCTCATTTAGCTATTTGTCAAAGCAGTGGAATATATGACTTGAGTAGACGTTACAGTGAGCTAGCGCAAAACGGTAATCAGTTCAGTTTTCAGTCCTTCAATACATGCATTTTGTCATGTGTAAAAAGCTGAATAAATAAAAAGAAAGCAACTAATAGTCAGCAACAGAGATGTAATTTTACAGTTTACTTTATGATCTGTGGACAGTCACTCCAGGCTTTTGCTTTCCTCTTGGCTAACGCAAGCCAGGCTGGTTCTGTTGACACAGGGTTGGCATCAGGCGTGGAGAATCTCTTGGCCACCTCCTTTGCCAGTGGGGTTGATGGAACAGAATCTGAAATTTCCACTGTTTTTGATCGGGTGGGGAAGGGAAGAGAAAAAAACGTTAGTTGAACCCTGTGCTTTGTTGCAGGATTCTAGAGATTTCGCTGCTTTTCTGTGGAGGTGTTCTGATCTAACACTTCGTATTTATTTCCAACCCTTTTAGTTAAAACTTCCTTTTTATTCTATTTGCAAAATAATCAAATTAGGAGGAGCTGTTTGCTTTTTCAGAGGTGACTGCAAGTAATGTAACTCATGAAAACAGGGACAAAATTTTCAGTCTCTGTGAGATCCAGAGAAAACGTTTCCAAGTTGCCAGTCATCTTTACATAAACTATTTTAATTACATCTGCAATATAGCAAACAATGGGAAATAAAGCTGGATTTTTTTTTTTCTCTTTGGTACTGCAGCTGCTGAACTGCCAACTGTATTCAGTAGGATTTAGATTCCCTTTTCAGATTAGGCTTCTTAAATAAGCGCAGAGAAGAAAGCGGTCCTGTAGTTTCCTGCCTCATTTAACCATGCCTGCGAGACTACCCTGAAGAAGAAAGGAACCAACTTTCTCCAACAGCAGTTTGTCACATTTTCTAGAAAATAATATATTTAAGACAAACAGCTGTGTCAGCAAGAAAATGTGTTGAATAAGCAACTGATTTCTGACAAGCAACTTTACAGAGCAGAACTGTAGAAGTATGTTGTAGAAGTCAGGTGGGAAGATTGTTTAATTCTGAGACTGAATGCCCTTGAAGGCAACCTGAATAGAAATGAGTCCTCTCTGACACCTATGGAGTAATTCTAAAAACCTTAGTTATAAAATAACTCCTCACTAATCCCGCCTTAGACATTTTCTTTTTTTATGAGCCAAGAAGCTGCTTTTTGTGAAGTATTCAGATTCAGTCCAAATTATTTAGTTGCATTTCATTTTCAGGTTTTGAATGTTTTAAAAAGCTTTAAAATTGCATGGATGGCAAAAATCGTTTATTTTTCTTTTTTGTACATCTTTAATCATGTATTTTTAGCTATAAGTGAATGAACAGTAGCAGCAGCTATTGCTGCAGACAGACACTTTGAAAAACTAATTATTTTAAATGTTATGCTAATTTATGCTATTTTAAAGGTTATTTCCTCTTATCAGTTCCTGTTGTACAAGACTCAAGTGCAAGTCTGAAATACACCAACTTCTTCAAGTTTTGGGTGTTTTTTTAATGTCCTTAGAGGAGGACTTGGCAAACTTTTATTTTAAACATGGTCTAGCCTGGTCTTCTGCCTTAAAAGCTCTCCTAACTGTGGGAAACCCAAATCAGTGTCATCATACATAATAAACAAATACTTGTATGTAGTGTATTTGTGTAGCTGATAATGGTTACCCGGCTCCAAACGTAGCCAGTAATCACACAGAAATCCAGTCACTGTTTCCTTTAGGGCCAACACAGTTCTGCACTGTCACTTTAGATAATTCAAAATTGCTAAGTCCTCCTGAATTCCCTCCTGAAACTCCCATTCTAGTGCAGAGAGACCAACCAAGGACAGCAGTGTTTTGGCACTTCTTTGATCTAATTTGGCATCATCTATTGTGCTAGAGTTTGACTTCTGCTAGAATTGACCATGTACAGTGTAACATCACACCACTGACTCTGTTGGGGTAGGGCTGCAATAGAGCCCTGTTACAGGTGGACAGCAATGCTGTAAAGCTTCTCTACCTGCCTACCTCCAAAGCCAGTCTGGACACTGGAAGCAGGCTAACACGAGCATGAAAAGTTTTGGGCAATCTATGTGAGATCTTAGAATGGTTTGGGTTGGAAGGGGCCTTTAAAGATGAGCTAGTCCAACCCCAGATGTTGCAGGTGAAGTCCTCAGGGATATCTGCACCGGCAGCTGCAAAAAATGTGTAAGGGTTGATCAGCTTGGAACAGTCTGTAACGTAGGAGTAGCACTGTTTTAGCCTTTACCGTTACAGATCAGATAAATGAATTGCCTCATTACTTTCAATGGTTGAATTCTGTAGTTCTTGGCTTAGACTGGTACTGAATAGATTGAGCTGATATGTGTATTTACTTTCAAAGAAGCCCACGCTATTTACTGTGCAACTAACTTACTTCTAAAAAGGTTTCTTCAACACCTATCTCTTCTCCAATACCTTTTGCCTGGGACTAATGTTGGCTGGAGAAATATTAGGCAAGTCTCTATTTCCACAATCACCAGATACCACCCCGAGTATTACGCTAACTTACTTATAAAAAGGTTTCTTCAACACCTATCTGTACTCTTCTCCAATACCTTTTGCCTGGGACTAATGTTGGCTGGAGAAATATTAGGCAAGTCTCTATTTCAACAATCACCAGATACCACCCCGAGTATTACGCTCTTTGGGGAAGTATTTATTGTAATGTGCCTGCCTTTTGAATATGGACTTGTTTCAGCTTAACTGAAGTGACAGATAAAGTAGTAGGTTCTGGTTCCAACCTTCCATACTAAATACTTGACTGGGAGGGAGAAGTCTTAAATTCAAAGTGACAGGCTACCTTGAACTGAATTGATTAGTTTTTGTATTTTTTAAATGAAACGAGAATGCTCGTTCCAAATATTCTGGGGTGAGTATTTCTCCTTGGCAAACTGGGAGGTGTGGGAAGACAATATGCTTCATACCCTACACAAATACACTTTGTAGAAGTTAAGTATCATTCCCCTTCTGTGCTAACCCCCAACCTAAAGGTAAAACAGTACTGCAATTGCAATTTACAGTAAATCAAATCCCTCGTGCATTAGACACGTTCCAAAAATATTGTTGGATACAGCTTGGGGAGACAGCCAAATTTTTGTAACTTGAACTGGAGCAATCCTAAGGAAATGCAGTAGTGCAACCTTAATAACCTGGCAAACCTGTTAAAAACCTGTTAGAATTATGTGCTTCCAGTGTAATGGCCAGCATATGAGACTGGGAGAAGTTGTGCTGTTGCGTGCTGAAAGCAAATGCATTTGTAATTCTAGGGGTAATATATGAGGGAAGGAAAAAAAAAATCATTCATACACTTTCTCAAAAATGTGCAATACCATTTCTGAAGTGTGTTATTCCTAGAGCAAATCTGAGTCTCTCACTGTACCTGTCACAGAAGTTGGAAGGGTGTTCGACTTTTTTAGCTGCTCCCTTCTTTCTAGTCTGGACACAGCAGTCTCTGTTTTCTTCTCCCCTTCCTGAGTTGTCGATTTCTGCAGTGTGCTTGTTTTGCTGCTGCTGCTTTTATTATCTGCCTGGTTACTTACAGCAGCCTAGAAGAGAGAAGGAAAACTGCTAAATGAGAAATGGTCTGTCATGTAATGACTACAAGTAAGAGATGTCACACTTGATGCTTTCATTCATCACCTGTCCTTTCCTTAACTTTCCTTCTCAGCAAAGGATCAAAACACTCTGATACTTCTAAAACTAACAGTTATTACAGACTGTAAAAAAAACGAAACCAAAACCAAAACAAACCCCAGAGTTAAATTTGTCATGTTGTCATTTCAGTCAAAATATTGGAACAGTTTGAGCCAGCCCTACCTGTTAAATACAGCACTGAAACACAGTGTGCATCTGTGGGCAACTTCACACCCACTGCTGGTTTTTTCTGCCAATTATTTATGTCTGTAATTATGCACTTGCCCATCAGAAATTTGAGTCTCGTAACAAACATCAAAATATACTTAGTTATCCACATGATCTCTCTTTTTACCATCTGTGGTATCTATACACAGCATCATTGTTTGTGTAGCATCAATTTTGCACTGTAAGTAGAAGTGTTTTTCTTACTAATAGAAAACCATGGACAGTAAATAGATATTTAGAGAACAGAAAAGAAGTGATACTTGAATTCAGTGCCTGCTTTAGGCATTTGCATGTTTCACATGACAGTTCATTTCTTTCGTCTGCATTTTATCCAAATAATATGTTACAATAAAAATAAATGCAAATTTACTAATGTTCACCTATAAATGAGTATTCTAGCTGTTATCCCCTAGACATTAAGGCTTAACATCTTACTTACTCAAGCTCTGAAAGAACCATGTTATACAATTTTTGTGTTCCATCGCCTGCACAGTGGTCATGCTTATGATTGCCATTAACTGCCACCTGATATTAAGGCATCAGTTTACACTAAAATTATCACATTATTGCACAGTATTTTCTCCTGGAGGTCTCAGTTTTGCAAATGGGAACTCCAAACTTTCAGACTACTTTTTACTCACTATCACTTTAGCTTTTCTTGAAATCTTACAAACCAAACATTTAAAAAAAATTATCGCTTTCATATAATAAAACTAGCTAACAATTATAATTATGGTATCAGTATTTCTAACGGGCAGGTTTCTAAAGATTGTTTACATTTTCTTTAGCCAGCTTCTCTGCTTGCTTCGCCTCTCTGGCTTGCCTTCTCTCTTCCCTCGTAGCTTGCTGCTCACGAAATCCCTTTTGCTTTTGCAGCGCTAATGTAATCCAAAGCGGTTGTGAAGTTTCAACTTTTTCCATCAATTTAGAGCCATCTAAAGAGTGCCTGCTCTGGAGGACAGGCTTTTCTGAAAGAAAACACAACAAGAATTGGTTGAGTAATGCACATCTCTTGTCTCAAGCAAACCCTTGCAACTTCTCTACCTTATGAAAGCTCTGGAGCTAAGCCCACTGAATGCCATGCCATTGACAGAGCTTCATGGACTGTTTTTATGCCTCAAGAATAAGACCTAATTCAACACACTCATACAGCTGTCCAAATTTATCCTTTTTTTGTGAAAAAGCCTACCCCAGATACTTAGACTTACAACCTTATTTACTACAAATATTCGCACTGTGAGATATTTAAGGGAAAGTGATACATATGCATTGATTGTTTCTAACTCTGATAAAAGGGATCCAGCCACTACGTACTGCAGTTCCTTGGTTTTGCAGACATAATTAAGGGAAGAAGAGTGTCAGAACTTCAGCCAAAAGAAGGGCGCTGGAATGATGTACTCCTGTAAATGCAGCCTCTCTTAAAAAAAAAAAGTGTTGTGTTTTTTTTTTTTTAAATTGTCATTTGAGCATTTCACTTTCTGTACCCTGCATGAAACTGGGGCTAGCACCCAGTATGGAGCTGTCAGTGGCAGGGACCAGCACTGGGGTGCAAAGGTGCAGAGAGCACAGAAATCCTCAATGGGCCCGGGCCCTGTTCTCCCAGGCTGGCAGCTGTGCCTCCCACTAGTTTCCATAAATCCTCATTTAAAAACAGAAGTGAAAGGAAAAAGTGTAAAAAGTGGTAAAAAATAAGCAGCAGTTCCACTGAGATATGGTTTTAGAAGTGTCATGATGCTTCAAAATTCAAGAATGGGAAAAGAATTGGGATTTCCCAATTAAATGCTGAATTTCTGCCTTGCTGTTTTGAGTGTCCTTATGCTGAAAGGGTAATTTTTGCTCTTGCAGAGAATACTATTTCAGGGCACAGAGGCTTTCTGCCCTCCTTTGAAGAGCCACTATGGCTACTGTAAATGTTTCTATTACTGAAGAGTGCCTCTGAAATGCAGACTCCTGTGTCCAGCTATACTGAGTGAGTTAGAGAATTTGCCCAGGATAGGCACTATAAGGGGACCTAGATCTTAATATTTTTTAAGCTAGATAATATTCCCCTAAAAACCAGAAACAATATAATGTAAATTATAAAAATTACTCCCTCTGCTCTGATGACACCATTACACGTGGAACACAGAGTCCATCCTCTGACTAACTAGGTAACAGCTCTGCCAAGGAAAACACACACACGCTTCAGTTACCTCCTTGAAATTAACTTTCTTAAGCAGGTCGCACGGGTCATGCTGAGTCTGTGTGGTTTTCAATTGAACTGTGGGGATGGGAAGTCCCATTCATTCAGACAACCCTAAGCAAAGTAGTAGTACTCCATGAATAACGTCAGGCAAATATTATAGCTTAAGACCAAATGTCTTCCTCTGGACCTCCAGTATCTCATTGTGGAAATGCAGGCAATACTAAATGACCTTTGAAAAAGACATACCTTTCTTCAATGGCTCAGGCTTTTTCTCATTTTTTTCTCTCCATGGAATACTTATAGATGGAAAAAATGACTTCTTTTCTCTGATTTCTTCCTCTTCATTTTTGTACTCATTGAATGGTGTGGGGTGCACTGCATTTGCTCTGTCTTCTTTTCTCCAGCCACCGTCTGATTCAGCTTTAAGCAACCGTTGCCCTCGCGTATCAGCTAGGTTTGATCTGTTCATTTTAGAGAGAGGAGATGATGGCGGAGTCTGGCTGGTAGGCTTTGGAGCTAAAGCAGGTTTCTGTGGGACCACTGACTTGCACGCTGGTTTCTCATGAGGGGGTAAAGCACTCTGGCCGGTGGGTGGTAGGACCACTGGTTGTGAAATTTCCACCACAGTAACTGAAGAGTCTTTTGAGTCTTTTAAATTACCAGGGACGTTTGGTCTCCCCATGCCAGGGGATGTACTCTCTTGTGGAACAAAAACAGAGGATTCTTTCTCACCTTCTGTTGTAACTAGTGGGTCAGGGACACCATCAAAACTATCTCCTGCACTGTATCTTTTCTTTTTCCTCTGCTCTGCCTGTTGATCATAATGGAAACGTAAAGAGTAGTTTGTCCTCCTTAACTTTATCCCAAAAGGAGAAACGCTTTCTTCTCCGTTTGGTGCTGGTTTATCTGCTTTTTTGGTGCTGTTATTCTGCTGATTTTCCAGAGCACCAGGAAGTTCTGGCTGAGGTAATTCTTTACCTGGAGAATGAGGAAAACTTGGAACAAGGAAAGATGGAAGATCTTTTGCAAATTTACAGCCTTCTGTGTTGTCTGTCATTTCACTATGCGTTTCCATTTTCTCCTTAGCCTTTTCAGCTAAGTTATCCTTACAAGTGGAAGCCACATACTCCTTCGAATCAGCGGATGAGCCAGTGATTCTTCCCACAGCCACTGTTTCATTGCCTTTTGCTGCACTTACATTCTCAGTGTTTGAATTGGTTTTTGAAGCTTCTGAAAACTTCTGCCATGCTGGTGTTATTGAGAACTTTGCATTTGCAGAGAGGGTCTTCCTCAAGTTGCCATGGGGAGCACCCCGTCCTCGGGGTGTCCAGTCGTCACTGTGTCTGCAGACACTTACTCGGTCTCTCTCATTATATTTGCTGTTTTCTGCATTCTTTAAGATTCTGGAGCGGATAGAGGCCCACTCAGCTAGTACAGCCTGGTTGTTCAGTGTCTCTTGTGCATATTTCATTCTACTGCTGCTGGGTTTGGGATCCTGGGTCTTCTTCTGGGCCTTGTCTGGTGAAGGAATATCCACATTTTTTCTCTCTTCTGTTAAGCCAAGTAATGATTTACAAGCTGTGTCCTTTATCTGGTTCAAGTTAACTGCTGTGCCACACAGCTGTGCTCCAGTAACCAAAATAGCTGTATGGGGCACACACACAGATGACGGGAGTGCATGAGAGCCCTTGCTGGCCGTGTGCATCCTGCAGTCTTTGATGGATGGAGAAGAGACTCCTGCTCCTTTGATGGGCATGACTGGACTCAGATTTACTTTCTGAAATATGATCTGTTTATCTCCAGAAGATACTTGAAATGTGAAGGGTCTGGATGCAGTTTGTCTTTCATCTACCTCTTGCCACCGAAGTTCTTCCCCTATTCGCTTTTGCTCTTGAGCCTCAACTTCTCTCTTGAGTTTCTGGGCTAGGACCTCTTCTGCTGTTTTATTCCCTTTTTCTGGCTGTTTGAGTTTTGGGGATTTAGATCCTTCTTGGAGCTTCTCCTCTGCTGGATGCCTATCAGCCCCTCCAGAATACAACTGATCCTTGTCCTGTTGCTGTTCCAAGGATTTTTCTTGTTGGTTTTGCTGAAGATTTTGTTCTTCTGTGTCTACCTTCTGCTCTTCCAGCTTGTTCCACTCTTGTTCATTTTGTTCCTTCTGCTGCTTCAGTTCGTCTTGTGGCATACCCTCTGCACTTTCCATGTGCATTTGTTTTGTGAGCTTGTGTTTTCTCTGCTCTTCCCGTTTCATTTTCTTACCCATTACTTGCTGGGGTTGTTCCTTCTCTGCCTTTTCTCCTTTCTCCTTCAAATGCTGCCTTTGTTCCTCCTGTTTCTTCTGTTTGACACTCTCAGCTTCTTTCTCCTGCTTCAGTTTTATTTCAGCTTCTTGAAGCTCTTGTATCTGTTTTTCTTCCTTATTTTGTTCCTTCAGTTCTTTTTGTTCCTCCAGCCAATTTCTTTCTTCTTCCTCTTGACACTGTTTCTCAATCTCTTGTTGCCTTAATTCTTCCAGCTCTAGCCGCTTCTGCTCCTCCAGCCCTTGTGCCTGTTTCTCTTCCAACTCCTTGCACCTCTGCTCTTCCCATTCCTGATGCTTCTGCTCCTCCAACTCCTGACATCTCTGCTCTTCCCATCCTCGGTGCTTCTGTTCCTCCAGTTCTTGTCTCTGTTGCTCCTCCTTCTCCTGGTGCCTCTGCTCCTCCAGCTCTTGTCTCTGTTGCTCTTCCCATTCCCAGTGCTTCTGCTCCTCCAGCTCTCGTCTCTGTTGCTCCTCCTGTTCCTGGTGCCTCTGCTCCTCCAGCTCTTGTATCTGTTGCTCCTCCTTTTCCTGGTGCTTCTGTTCCTCCAGCTCTTGCCTCTGTTGCTCCTCTCGTTTCTGGCACTTCTGCTCCTCCAGCTCTCGTCCCTGTTGCTCCTCCAAGTCCTTCTGCCTCTGCTTCTCCAGTTCCTGGCACCTCTGTTCCTCCAGCTCTTGTATCTTTTCAGCTTCTAGCAGTCTTCTCTCCTCTTTATGGCATGTTTGCTCTCCTATTTTCAAAGACATCTCTCCTTCAAAGAGATACTGCCTCCTCTCTTCTTCACAAAGCCTTCTCTCCTGCTCTTTCTGTATTTGGTCAAGTTCTTGGCACCTTTGTTCTTCCATTTCTCTTTGTTCTTCCATCTCTACAATCTGCCTTATCCTTTCAGCCTCAAAGATCCCCCAGTGATCTTCAATTCTTTTCTCCTCTGCCAGTGGAAGCTGCTTCTGCTCATCTCTGTTCTGGATTAGCTTGTCTGCTACGATGTGTCCGTTATAACCTGGGTATATGTCTCCATACAGCTGGGTTTCCAGGTCCTCTGGCTCAAATTCTGTTATTGTTAAACTTTGTGATCCCTAAAATTGGGAGACAAGTTTGGAGTTACTGAATATTGCCTATTGGCTTGTTATTCTTTGCAGTGAACAAAAAATCAGTTGCAAATGCAAAATTTCTTTTTTCTCTTTTTTTTTTTTTTTTTTAAACCAATGATTTAGATCCAGAGCCAACATACCCACCCCGATTTATGGATCACATCATCATAGATCCCATGGCTCTCACCTATTCAATGACAGCCTTTAAAAGAAAGAAAACATGCCAACAGTCATAACAGTATAACACTAAATATTGAATCACCATTTGGTGTACATGAGCTAATCCAGATTGAGACCTGCCATTTCAAATTTACAGAAGCTCAAGGAATACAGTACAAGTTTCATATGCCTGTTCTACTACTAGGAACTCCCATCTTTTAAGCCTGAAATAATTAGCACCTGCTTAAGGGTATTGTTTTGCCAGTTCTTTCATGGTAAATCTAGCTGTTCCTTGCAGAGACAGAAGCTGTTGCCTGCAGAAAAGAGCTCTGCAATGCTAGCCAGGAAAGAACATTGCTCAGGGAAACACAGTTTGGCTGCTTTTCACAAATCCTGAGTCAGGATCTTTTCCTCGTTAGCTGTGCTGCGACTCCAGTTCTATTGCAGGAACCATGGGACCATGCATGGGCAGAGACCCTAGAGCTCCCCAGCAATACTGCACTGTACCGCACTGAGGGATGCGCTAACTGCTGACGGGTTCTCCGTGCTGGGCATGGGGGTGCAACACCTGCCAGAAACAGAATGCAGATCTTCTTCACAGCTTATGCCTTGTCTCTGCAGCGACATGGTCTGAAGGTGAGCTGCACCTGAAGACTGCTTCCCAGCTCTTTCCTTGAGGAAAACAGCTCAGCTAATGCCCTGCCTAGCTGTCATTTGTTGAGCCATCATTTGGCTCCAGTTAAACACTCTGTATAAACAAGAGGTTTAAATTTAATTTCTTCATTGCAAGAGTGATAAGTGCAAGTACAATGGTGTGGAAGAAAGGACAGTGGCCTCTCCTGAACCCTGTATTAGTTGAATAGTCTTGTGCCATTTACAAGCACTTGTATGATGTCAGGATAAGAAACAAAATAGCCATGCAATAAGTGTACAAACCTAGAATTTGTTAATTCACTCTATGGCTGCAGCAACAGCTGTGTTACTAAAGTCTTATTCTTTCTTATAAGACAATGGTAGTATCTCTGTCAGAACCCATGCCAGTTTTAGAGAATCTTAATTTTCTTCCCAACCAAATTTTGCACTGATTGCCTATACCAGGGCAGCATTAACAGTGGCAAATATCCTTCAGACCTTTACGACCTACATTTTTTACTACAAAACCTAGAATCAGAAAGCTCTCCCAGTGTAAAATCCTAGTAGAAGTACTTCAAGTGTAAGTAGTATTTGTCTCAACTGGCTATATTAAAACTTCTTTGCATCTTCTCTCCAGCTAGCGTTTCATCTTTAGGTCTCTATCTTGATTTCAAGACAAAACGAAAGAAGCATGCATTTTGTTTTGCCTTGAAGACATGAGATTTGTTGAAGAAGCTTTCAATAGCTATCTCTAACACTGTTAATCACATCTTAAGACAGTCCTCTGTCTATAGCTACTCCTGGATTACTCAGTTATGGTTATTATGTACCCAGCTTCAAAAGTAACCCCCTCCTCTCGCTGTTTGACCAGTGATTCAATACCTTTGTTAATCTCTTGTGCTTTCTTGACATCCTCTGCTTTTTTGGCTTCACTGACAGCTTGTGTTTAGCTGCACTGTTGTCTAGACGAGCAACAGCCTGGGGAACTGCATCCAAATTGATTGTTTCAATTGTGCCAGAATAGGAAAACTGTCTTTTTGGCCGAGATGATTTGACTGGAGTGACCTGTTTGTACAAGAAGCTATTATTAAGCTATTTGTTCCATTGAAATAAGTAAATAAATAAATAATACACACACACACAAAAGCCTGTGCACTTTTGAATTCAAAGGAGTTACTAGCAGAAAAGATTTCAAACCCTGTTCTTCCATTATACAAATCATGAACTTTGGACATGAAAGTTACAGCTGCAATATTTTCCTGTTTCCAGTACTACACATTTTTATACTTTTCACTTAAAAATTACTTAGACCATTCTAACTGAAGTTTTTTCACAGTTTAGCTCCACTCTGAAGTTGTGGGGAATGGGAAGGGCAGAGGCAGAGTTTTAAGCAACGTTGAACACTGGGACATTTTAAAGTTTGCTTACTGTGGAAAAAATATCTACATCTTTAAATAATTTAGATTATACAATTTAGGCAAGAGCAAATCAGATATTGTCTTATCTAAGCATTATAACAGAACAGCTACAGAGCTCTACTATCTGCATGGGAGATAACTACAGTATTGGATCTCAGACTGGCGCAGTGCCTGTGGAAAACCTTCCCTCCAGAGTCATGTGGAGTTGTCCAAGCTAGCACCAAAGAGCAGCAAAAAATAAAATAAGACAATCCTGTCTTTGATTGGTGCTTCTTTCTTTTGCCCTTCAAATATCTGGGTTCAGAAAGTGCAAATACAAGCAAAGTGATTTAGTGAGACTCCTCTCATGAATAAATACAGTGGAACTGTATGTCTAGCCGTGCAAGAGCGAGCCTGTCATCAGTGTCTCTCGTAAGTCACCGAGCTATCATCCTGAGACTTGTATTTGGCACAATCCAAGTGGAAAAAGAAGGCAGAAAAAAAAGAAGGGAGAAATCTCTAAGGAAAGAAAATCACATACATTGTTTTCAAGACAGCTCTGTAATCTTCTGAGGTTAAACATATGCTAATCAGGGAACCAATTACTTAAAAGTTGATGGAACATTTTGCATAAGCTTATTGAATTACATGTAGGCATAACAAAGTAGCAGAAGTACTTACGAAAATTATGGCTCTGTGATTAATACATCAAATGCAGGAAAGCTGCAAGACTGGCAGAGACTAAGTTCTGCTGTTTCCTGCAATCAGCTCTTAGAGATTTCTCAATCTTAGTTATTGCTTATTTACTAGCCCCAAAACTGTGCAACATTCACAAAATCTTGCATGATCAATGAAGCAATGAAATACGTATTCAAGCAAAAACTGTCAGGCTTCTAATAGCTAAAATTAGAAAGTAACTCAGTGCAAACCAAGTGTAAAAGTTTTTTTACCTTTTCTTCCACGTCATGTCCTGTTCCAGGCAAATTCATTGTTCTCAACAAATCTGGAGTGTCAGTGGACTAGAAAACAAAAAGATTATCACAGGTAGATATTGAAATGGAAAGGATCTAATAAATATGGTTCAAAGGACTTGTGAAATCATGCATGTTAAGGTAGGATTTTTACCCTCTTTCTTGTCACTGCAGGATTGATGGATAAACAATTCTTATTCCTAAATGCTATGAGTTTCGCTTTGCTGCTCCTTGAATCACTGCTGTCTATACAGAAGCAGTTGCTGCTACAAGACACTACAAAAGGCAAAACATTCACCCTTCCTTAACAAAATAACCACGTTCCAAAGCAAAAGAAAGAGCACAGTTTTGTAGGATTTCAATCAGCTCTTAGGAACTTTCTTTTCTCCTGACCTAGACCTAAGGAAAAAATACAGGAACCTGATCAGGCATTACCTCTGCTGCAAGGAGTTTCAGCTCCAGGCTCTTGACGACTCCTCTTCTTACAAAGCCAACCATCCCCTCAGAACAATTGAAGCCTGTCAGTGACTAGGACTCCTTAGCTACCATCCTTCTCCAAGCCATCTCACAGGAGGGGATTTCTAAGGCGCAGGGGTTGAAGCAGGATTCTTCACACCCAGAAACATTGTTTTTAATCATTACATCACAGTATTGCTTCATATGACCTATGAATGTTGGGATCCCATTACACTAGGTGCACGTGATCGTTAGTATAAAGCCTAAAAAAATCCGCTTTACAAATAGTGGTTAAATGAGACCCAGAATTCTCGCCATTGATCCAAGTTACAGAGTCAGGAAAATCAGAAGCCACAAAGCAACACAGGAAACCTGTTTGAAGCAGAGCAGCGCTATGTGGTCCTGGCCACCAGCTCCCGACAGAAGCCTCCCCGTCCCTCAGGAGCTACGCAGATAAACACGCAGAGCAGTTACAGGGCCAACAGCAGAGATCAGAGCAGAAACCAGGCAAGCTGCCATGCACCAGAAATCTCTGATAAAGGAGGTAATATGAGTAGCGTGCAGAAAGAGAAAAGGAAAGTACCGAGTGCTGTGGCTGACCCTATGCCTGTAGCATTGCTTTGTTTGTGTCTGCAATCTTCTCTGAGTAGGGGTGTTCGCTCCTTCGGTATTCGGAAAAAGAATTATGCAAAGGGGCATTCCTTTAGTTTTCAAAATGTAATAGAAGAGTAGGTGGTAAGGACTGAATCTCTCCCTCCTTATTACACAAAGATACTCTAGTGATTTTTCAGTGCTTGAATTATTTTCTCCTTTGAGCTGGAGGTCACTAAGTGACATTTGGGTCTCCTGCAGGACCCAGCAAGACGGCTGTCTGCAGAGAATCGATGTTGGTCTCAAACGCGGAGTCTCGCCCTGTACTAGGGCACATAGCCAAAACCTGTCCACAGTCCCACTGCACTCTTTGTGCTCTGAGGCATGCAGGATGCTCTTGATCACCTTAACTGAATGCTTCAGAAGGGAGTTATTTGTGAAGCAGAAAAAATTTACCCTGCTTTGGCTTCATTTTTATCCTTCCAGACTGCAGAGGCGTGAGTGTGCAGGTACTACCCAAATGCCTGGCTCCCTGACAGATCCGACCACAGCCACGAAGGAAGTGGTCACAGAGGAGCTATGTTGCCCCTTAAAGACTGATGAAGCATTTGAGCCACCTCAGCCATAAATCTCCCTTCTGTGTGTTTGGCTAAACCTAGGCATGAGGTGCAGAGGACACTGACTGCCTTTCCCTCCCACACAGCTAGCACTAGTGAACACTGGCAGGAGCTCACACCCCAGCGTTCCTCTGGGATCCTAAGGGCTGCATGTGCGTGGTGGGCTGCTGTGTGCCTTCCCCAAGGGTTCCCAGGCATAAAGTCGGCCTCCTCCAGGCAGGGAAGGGGGTCCCTCTGCCCCCCGCATGCCCGGTAGCTATTGCAGTGACACACAGAGCCAGTCTTGCCTTAGAGGATTTCCACAGAGCTTCTGTCACTCACTGTGTTTCTTTGCTGTCTGAACAAGACCTTTCTGGATACCTGAATGCCCACAGTTCCTGGTATCAAAATCTTCATGGAGAATTCGAATAATTATTTGAATTATGCCGGACATTTGGATTTAGGGAGAACATTCTCAAAATGTTTCTCCCCCTTCTTTGCCTTTGGTTCCTTTCCATGAGAAAGATGGATATTTTCCTCAAGACCCAGGATTTACGGATTTAGGCTCCAGACCTCTCTCATTTTGGAATGATTTCCTTTTTTACCATGTGATGCTATGCACAACTTTCCATGCTGCGAAGTCCATATTTCAAGCAGTTTGTGTCTCAGAAAAATTTCGTGTCTTCTAGCTACACTGCAATTGATGTCTGCATTGCTGGAAATTCAGAGCAAACATTCAAACAGGTAATTCTGTGGGACCTGGCTCAGGATGCCAAGAGCACACACTTCTCACCAGTCTGAGAAGCAGGAGCTGAGAGATCCCATCCAAATACAACAGCCTGCTGAGCTCAGCGATGCCTCACTGGGGTCATCTGCTACGCCCCAGTGAACTTTACTGGTTTAGTACTGCTATAATGCCATGAATAAGTCAATTTAAAGTGCTTACTTTATTGCCACTGTCTGAGATCACTGTGTCCTGCTGAGTCTCAATCTCCATGGGGCTACTGAGCAACACATCCTCTTCTATATTAGCGTTTGCCTCTCCCATTGTCCTCACAGAAATTGTCATTTGTGGAGGCTGCCCAAATTTTATATTCTTGGCCAACTGTTGCTGAAAAACAAGGGAGAAAAAAAAAAAAAAAGGTATTTATATCATAAGTAAAACAAGCCAAGTCTAGCACGTGTCCCTTTTCCACCTGAAAGCTGCACAGAAACATTAAGGGCAACTTCTGACTCTGAACAAAAAACTCCCAACTTGAGGCTCACATTGCTGCAACATGATGGCCACCCCCTTTTCTTTCTCCCCGCAAAATGACCAAGGTCAGGAATTTACCTCATCATTTCTGATTTTGGATTATTAGCTTGAGTTCTTGTCAGTGTTGCCAACTTTTGCAAACGTACAGTGAATTTTGAAACATTCTTTCTCTTTTTTTAATCTATGTTCTAGGTTAAGACTTTGTTTATAAAAGCTAATTATGAAGCCTTACTGTTGCAAAGAAATAAGATTATGAGCCAAGCGTACACTGAGGAACTAAAACTGCCCCAAAAGGCAACCTTTTTCTTCTCCAGCCCCCAAACCCTGCACCTCATGCATCTGTAGTTCTTAAAGATATCCTTATTGTAATGTTTAGTCATCAGATTTAAATGTTAAGGGTTTGACATAAGCCTGCCTTAGAGGAGGCAAATTCTCAAAGGAGGGGAAATCCAGCTTCTTTTAGATGCCTGATCTCATAGGAACAATACTCAAACTCACATCTGCTCATGCTCACATACACTGCCAAATCACCACTTTTGCACACAGAAGTTTATGCAGGGGACATGCAGTAGATGAATGGATAAAAGAGCTTTCCCACCATTTATTTTCCTTGTTGAAGTAATCTTCTCTCAAGGGTTACAAGAAAGTACACTTGAATTATATCAAGCATAAGATGAAGTAAAATAAGTAGCATATAGTATCCGTCCTCTGGTAGAGTGAATTAGAAAAATTACAACCCTGGCTACTGCAGAGACACGTACTGTACAGTCTTTGAAAGTGAGCTTTTTGCAAATGAGTTAGAAGAAATTATCTAGAAGGAGCAAATGGAGTAAGGAACATTTAATGATGGGTTTTCTTCCCGAAATATTTCAGGGAATCATTCTCAGTTGGGAAGGAAGGGACCATGGAGTTATTTTCCTGCTTCACCTTCTTTCAAGCACAGAAAATTCTCCAAAGGAGATCTCCCATTTCTGTCTTGTATCACTATGAACATCTACAGCCCAGCGATACTCAATTCAACTCTGCAGCTTCTATTCAGTGGAAATGTCAGGTACATACACGGACTCCTGACACCAGTCAGAAGACTGAAGTAGACAGCATGTAAAACAAAGATTTTTATTTTTTTTTTCCTACAGCACAGAATCAGTAGCATGGTTTAGGTGAGCAGTTGGCAAGGGAAGATACACTTTAGTAGCAGTGCATGGACCTCTAAAAGGATGCAGGTCAGATCAGTCTCACTTGCCATCATTGCCCAGTGGAACAGACTCCTATATAAAGTTTATCCACATTACCCCAAAACATTACCAGATTTCTGTATTGAGCTATTAAGACAAAAAGTCTAAGCAGATACTCCTCACAATCAGGTTATTAAATTAGAATAGTTTTTCTCAGTCTCCTCAAGTTATGCGTTATTTATGCCCATTTGGATTTTGGCAGAAAGTAATGAAATTAATCTATTATATCATTTTGGCATAGCAAGCAGTTCTGAATAGCAGAGTTTTATTCCCACCCAGATTACTGGCAATGCACCCATAGTCTAAAGGCAAGGGTTTCACCAAATCCTCCCAAGCTTTCATGTTGGCAGTGCAACTTTCTCACTTGAAATCTTCTATGTTTCCATTGCGGAAATGGGAGCTGGAGAGAACAAACGGGCCTGTATTAGATAGTGTGAAGGCTGTAATTCTGCTCTATTCCTGCAGGACCTTTGATGCTAGTAGAAAATTATTTCAGAACAGCTTCTTAATTTGATAATGTGTTTTCTAAGTTGAGGCTGCTCCTTTCTTCTTCCTAAAGTCATATTCCTAGACAAATAGTTCTCCCAGGCAGAAAACTGGAACCATTGGCATTACCTGAGCAACCACCCAAGAAATTAAGGATCTGTTCATTTGTTCCATGATGAGAACATGCACACATGTACATATTGCGTGCAATGTGTTTTGGAGGAAAGGATGGTGTGTTATTCTCTCGATCAAGTTCTTGACCTAGTGTGTGTGCAATGCACGGTGGGAGTTGTGTGGTGATGGAGCTATTGTGGAGAATGGTCTGTGCTTGAAAAAGAATGGCCTTTTAAATTGTCATCAAGGATGCTTGAGGGCTCTGCTGTAAAACTGTGTATTTGTGTATATAAAAGCTTAAAATGTTGTTTTCCTGATATTTCCAGGAAACAGACTATCCTCAATATTTATGGACTGTACACAGTTTGTTTGTTTGTAATTACTTCAACGTTTTAAAAGTTTATTTGCTCAGACTTGCATAAATTATTTTGAAGATTGAAGAAGAAACTCTAGTAGCCCTCACATTCCTTTCAGGACAGAAGGCTCTTCTCTGTATTATTTATTTGTTGGCCTTTTTTCAACAAATTTAACTTAAAAAAAAAAGCCCCACTAATAGTTCTCCACTGACCAATTTCTTTTAGTGTGTTCTAATCTCCAAAGCTGATGCTGAATACCAAATGTCAAAATCTCAAATAGTTTATTGTTACCACTCAGCAAATTTATTCTTATTGCTTTCAAAGAGCAATGTTAAACCTGCTCCTTGTTCTTTTCTAAAATGTACTTATACTGTAACTACAATGCAATTATCCTCTCTCAGAAAAATTCATAGAGATACATTCTCTACCTGGTCAATCATAAAACCCTAAAAATGCATCATCCCTGAAAGAAAACAAAACCCTACAACTTTTACTTGGAAGAACACAAACAGATAGTTCCACTCAGAGAAGGCGAGATACATCAATTTAAGCTGCAAGGCCATTGAGAAGAGGCTGTATTCCCTGAAAAGGAGCATCTGCTTTACATTTCTCAAAAATTTCAGTTAGACATGTTATTTCTGAACACAAAACTATAAATCCTCCGTACTTGAGAATTCCCTGCGCTGACAGCATGTGGATGGTGGTTGCCTAAGGAAGATTATTTGCAACACCAGTCATTAGAAGTTGCAGGTGTGACATTTTCTTCTTTTACCATTGCAGAGTAATGTGTTTAAATACCCTTTTGGAAATCTCCATAGATGCGTATCAGTCTCAGTTAAATGACCGTGGTCTCTTTTGGTTTGTACAAGAAGACTTGTAATTTAACAGCCAGAAATCACCGTCCTGCTCTGAAATCTAGCTGTCAGCTAGAAGCAGAAGGAAGATGAACATTTCCTGCCTGCACCTTTCACTTCCAGCCTCATCAACCCCAGCGGGCTCTCCCAGTCCCTCAGTTTGCAGCCAGCGCACAGGTATTTCCACAGGACTTACGAATTGTTCTCAGCACCAAAACAGCAATGCTACCATATAGGACAATTATACCATGAAACGGTGGCTCGAGGGACCACACACACAGGGGAGCTTCAGAACAGGATAATCAAGCTGTGCTTCAGAACAGGTTTACCTCATTCCCAAATTTTTTTCTTTAAGATTCAAGAGGTGCATGAGAGTTTGTCTGTTCACATCCGACACACGTGGCTACTGGTGCGGCGCCATTCAGTGCGAGGTGAGGGGCAGGGCTGCACATCTAATAAAGGCAAAGAAATACTGGGAATTTAGAAAAAAAATTGAAAGTTTGCACTCATCCAATTTTTAAATTCTTCCTCAGTAACTGGACCATGACACAGGCCCACTTTTATTTAATGCAAAATAATTTGCTAAAATGTGATACTATTTAACTGACATCTTTACACCAGCTTTTAGTAACTTCAGAAATAAAGTTAAATTGCTTGGCATTGGTTGGCACCTCCAGCAAATTAAAAAGCTTAGACTTTCAAAGCACTCTGTGTTTGCATAGGAAATGCCACAGAAGAAACTTTCCATATTAACCGGCAGAGAGCCCAGGTCAGGCTGTACATCTCCTCTTTCACTCCAATTTGGCTCCTCTTGTGTGTACATGCCTGCTTTCATGCATGTTGGATTCAGCCCCCTGAAACCACATCATTCTTACGGCTCCATGTCTGGAGTGAATCCAAAACCAGATCTGCTGAGCTGCTTACTCTGGTTAAAAATCATTAAAACAGAGTGTACTATTTCAGCTGATTGCATTCAAACAAGTCTTACAAGAAATGCTGGTCATATTTTGCCCACAACTCAAATACCTATTTTTCACGTCTGTTTGCAATGTCCAGATATATAAATAAATGAAATTATGTTTTCTAGTTAGATATAATTGTGAAATAATGACTTAGTAATTCTTGTCCTAAGAAGAGCCATACTATTGAAATTCCACTTGGTCCTGTATAATCCCTCACAGTGACAAAAAAATCAAATGTCTTGGGAACATATAAGAACAGGGCAAGTGCCTACTGAGATTTTCCTTGTAAACCCTCCACTGGTTTGTGGCATCTGAGGACTTTTGGAGTCAACAGCCAGTTGGGAACTTTTCTTTTATGAATTTGTTTCATTGCTCTTTGACCTTTTATAAATATTTCATGAATAACAGTGCTGTATGACAATGAGTTCTACAGTCCAACTATGCATAAAGAAATATTTGTTTTGGTTTGAAAGTGCTACAAGTTTCAACTGATGCTCATGTGTTCTCATGCTGTGAAAGACTGAATAATTGTCCTCTATTCATTTTCTCAATTCCACTCATGATTTCATGCATTTCTATCATATTCTCTCTCTTATAATTTCTCACCTAGGCTGAAAAGACAGTTTACCTAATTGTTCTTTCTATGGAAGTGAGTCCACTTCTTTATCCAAACAAGAAAATCTGCAGCAAAACACCTCACATAAGCAATTCTTTTGTTTTGTCTTGTTAAATCAAAGGGAGAGAATAAACCAGAAAACATTGTGTTAGAAGTTATATTGGTATAGCCAGAGGCTTTAGAAAGTAAACTAGCTGTAAAATTAACAGGTAAACCTACTGAAAAGGAGGAAAATAAGAAGTATTACCACAGATGTTTTGGATATAAGATGCAGGGAGGGAACTATTCCACTCTCCGTTGCTGGAGCAGCATGTGTTTTGGGGCATTACACCTCACGAAAGATTTTGGGAGAGTCCAAAATAGAAGGATCGTGAAGAAGCAAACTGTGTATGGATCTCTAGAGATATATATTTGCAGCAAATCCAGATGCAAATTAAGATTTTGGTATATAGTGGCAATGGATAACTTACAGATGCTCACGTGTTAGGAAGAAGACTTTCTGGAGAAGCCTGAAGATACTTACAGGATCTGCAGCATTTGTCACCTGAATCTCTCCCCGCAGAGTACCAAAAGCAAAGCCCATGCGAGTAAGGAAAATGGAAGGTCATTTCAAGGGCTTAATATGATCATAGGAACAAGGGTGTCTGCCCCAGAAATGTTAGAATGATTAAGAAAAAATGATAAATTCTGTTTATAAAGTGAGTGAAAACAATTGTCAAATATGAAGAAAACAATTAGGCTGCAGTGGCACTAAAGAATATTGGCAACAAAGAAATGAATTGTAAGAAATACAAAGCTGGGTAATCATGCAGTGAAAATGCACTCCTAATTCTATAAAATGCAGCGCATCAAGTTAAAAGATAATAGCTTTGAGGTTCAGCAAATGACTTTGTAGCCTTGTTGAGACCTGGGCAATATCAACCAGAAACAACAGGAATGGCTGGTAGAATATAGATGTGCAATACACAGTAGGGGAAGCACCAGCTTGATCATTAGCTAAGATATGTTAATGACTAAAAGACATGGGATCCAAAACTGAACAGTCATTAAGTCTGACAGGAAGAAAATTATTTGGGACATTCATCATTACAAAGCCAGGGAAATGTGAATTTAAAAAGTAGTGCTTTAGAATTTGACCAAGAAGTCTGGATTCCCAAGATATGTTTTATCATAATTAATATCTGTGTAATACATGGGTGTTTAACAAATTTACAGAGCAGAGAGTTTGTTTTAAACCACGTGGCCACATGAAACAGAAAAGATGCAGCCCAGTAGTTCCTGAATCAATAAGCCATAGGCCATAGTCAACCTTTAATATTTCTTGCAGCGGACTGCCACAGCCTGACGGATGCCAGATGACTCGGGATACTTTCGGCAAAGGCAAGAGGCAGAGAACAAGCTGTCCTCCTGTCTCCAGAGACAGCAGCAATGCCACACCACCGTACTGTCACAGCAAAAGGAAGATAATGGCTTAGATGCATCAAGATACCAACACTCAAAACAAGTTTCCATTTTACTTGCTATGGTTTCTGTGGGTCTGAAACAAAAAACTGTCTTCTGTTCATTTGCTGACCATTTATGGCCGATATCAGTAGTAGGAAAAAGAGTCACAGCTGCAAAATGCGAGGAAGCGGACCTAACACTTTGATGCATGAAAAACCCCTCCACTAATCCATGAAAGGGAAGGATGTAAAAACAAGCTCCCAGAGTTCCTTTTAGGTTTGTTCTGACACACTGCTAGATTTAGCTTTTAAACATTCTGTCTCATTCACAGTCCTGTATGAGAAGTAAAACACCAGATCTCAAGAAACTGAGTTCAGCATTAAGAGTACCAGTGCCTGGGTACCATCTCTTTGTGGGAGCAGGTTCAGGTTGGCTTTCTACTTGGATCTTAAAATCTAGGCAATGACAAACCTCAGCAGATCCAAAGGACAAGGAAAAGAGTGCTTTTACAACAGCAGATGGCTTGAACCAAGAAATAACTTCTGGATACACAAAGGCTATTGGAGGTTAACAAGAAGTTGGGCTTTTCTCAGCCTAACTTTCAGTGCACACTAAAACCTTTGAACATGACCAAATCCACTTACAGAAAGCCTGATAAGATTAATGCCGCCAATCAAAATCAATAAAAAAACCAATGCTGCCAATCAAAATAAATAAAAAAAGAAATGAGAGCTATTCCAGAAAGAACTAATTTACCTTGCACACATAATCAGAAAGAGAGAATTCCTACAATAAGAAGCTGAACCAGTGCATACACTGGCTAGCTGCCCAGACTGCTACAGAGTTCTGCGCAATTACACAACACTTTTTGTGAGTTCGTCAACACTCCAAAGTCAGCAGAAATGCAAGGCAAGAAGGGGGAGACACTTGGATGGTCAGAAGAATGAGATCCAGCACCATCAAAATTAAATGGCTTGCATTTCTACTCTGTTTACAAAACCCTGTTCACCATGCTATCAGTTGGGCTTGTAAGCATCGTGCCTCTTCCAAAAAAGATTTAAGTTTTCCAGCAATGTTCACTGTACCACCCCAAAAAAACACCTGAAAAAGGTTAAAATCTGCAGAGCTTTTGATCTCTGTATGGAATACAGTGAGTTCAGAGCCAGCACAGGCCACTGAATCCTGGCAACACTTCTTTACTGAGAAGCATCTTTCCAGGCAAATGAAAACTTGAAATGCTGTGCTTCCACCGTGACATACAAGCCTGGGCAAAACCACAGTAATTTTGGTGGTGTAGCAACGACTTGGGACCAGGAGCTGGCCTCAGAATTGCTTTTAAGGAGTGGAGCGCTCTTCAGAAGAGATGACTGTCTCCTCTTGTTCCACCACTTGAAGAAATACAGACGTTCCCAGTGGGAGTGAGCTTGCAGAAAGGGATTTCAAAGTAGATACAAACTTCTGATTACTGGAGACCGAGTATCAGCATTTTCTGTGACTGCAAAATCACATAGCAAACACAGTCTCCTTTTAGAATACTACAGCAGAAAAAAAGGATGGGGTATGGAGTGCATAAAGCCTTCAGACAGGAATGATAGTCCAAATAACTGGTGAGACCTGGGACTCAACTCCACGGTCAATCTAAAAACGTGCAATGGAATTTTGGCATGATCTTGTCCTAAAACTCATGTTAACAGTTGCAGAAATCATGGCTAGGGAAATGGGGAGAGTTATGTGCTGGGCAGCAGGTTTCGCAAATACAAGAGGTGGTCCCTGGGCTTGTTACAAGGAGCCTTTCCATGGGGTTATGAAAAAAAAATCATGGATATTTAGATGAATATATAACTTCTGCGTAAACATGTAAATAGTTAAAAGTGTCATTTACAATCTATTATGCATTTCCTTTCTGATTGAACAAGCTGCTCTGGATGTCACCATCATCAGCAGAGTGGGAAAAGCTGAATCAGGGATGTTGTTACAGGCTGGGTTGCAGGTATATTAAAATGATAAAAATTAACTACTGTCCTTCAATTTTAAATAAAAAGGTAAGCACACTTTTGACATCAAGCAGCTGAAACAACACTCCCCCTTAAAATACATGCGAGTAACCACAACAAAAAAAAGTTTATGCAAAGTTCACATGAGCAAGAGCGTGTCACTGGCTATTTATTCTGTGACTTTCAAGAGTGATTATTTTTGCTTTAATTTTCTTGAGTTACCATTTACTTAGTGAAGATGGTTGTTAGCAACTGCAGTAACTGTACTTTTCATCATGCCTCTGAGTTTAACAAAGGCAGTAATTTCCATTGGAAATTTTAAGGTGAGTTTGGAAATGGGAGAAGCCACTCCTACAAAGTGAAAAGTTATTCAGAGAAAAGCTAATGTACTGAAGCCAAGACAGCAGATCCAACAGATAGGGAGGCCACAGCTCCCTGCAGAAGTCAATGGGCTTTGTATCCAAGGGAGACCCCAGCATTCTGCAAGACAGGTCCAACTACCTCGCGTCTTTGCCCAGAGTCAACAGCCATTTAAAACGTAAGGGTTTCTAGCCTGTAAAGTAGCATGCACTGAATCTACCCGATCCAGAGAAATTTAAGCTGAAAAACCAACACAGAGAAATTGGAGCTGTCCTTGTGTGGTTTCTACTTCAAAGTTCACGCACAGTCAGCCCAGCCAATGTTGTTCAGGTGCTCTGTCTGCTGACAGCACCGCGCAGGAAGGAGGAACAATTTCATCCTGAAGGTCAGATCTGTCTACCGTGCATGATCTCTCACTCACCAAAAAAGATGGACCGTGGGTAGACTTTGGAGGTGAAAGAAATCAGTGGTATTTTTTACTAGTCAGCCACACAGTAACGGCACTTGCACAACACTAAAAATTTATCAGCATTTTGACAGGACATGTCAGCATCCTGAGCAATAAACTGAAGCGTGCTTCTGAAGGACAGCTCTTTCAAGATCTAGAAAGCCACAGAGCTGAGAATCTTACACATGTACAAGAAGTAAGGCAAAAAAATTAGTTACAGCACTAATGGGACACAGTTTTGGAAAAGAAGGGAAAGCAGGTCATGTAAAGTTCTTTAGAAGAAAATACCCAAATGTGTTGTTTATGTAGTTACTTTTGTGCTGTTTGCTTTGGAGACATAAACATATCCATCTTTCATGAGAACCATTGAAAGGACAGGGAGAAAAAGGAGGAGGAAAAAAAAAGTAATGTATATAAAAGGATAATTAAATCAGCTTGGCAAAGAAGTCTCACTCTGCATGCCATTCCCTGCCGCCAACACCACCCTCATTTTTTCGCTCAGTACCACATCTGTAGGTCTCAGGCATACAGATCAGGGCACGCCAAAACCATGAGTTCAATTCAAACTAGTTCCATGGGATGCAGACATTTCTGCAGATTTGCTTGCAGCATCACTGCCATACCTTTCAAGACCAAAACCTAGATCTTCTGCAAATTATCTGCATTAGTTACATAGCTTTTGGCCAGACGATTTACATGGCTGAGAAACTGCCCCAAGGCTATTGGAAAAGCAACGCACTTTTATCCACATTTAACACATTCTGGAGACCATTTTCCACCACATTTTGAATATTTTTCCCACTTAGAATTTCTTACCTGAAGAGTTTTGACTTTTCCTAAAACGTTCTCCTGTGACATTGCTTGGATGGCCTGTTCACTCTCTGTTCTCCCATCAGGTATAAAAATACTGTCATGGGAAAAAGCTCGACTTCCCATAGAATAATGAGAGGACCTGGGAAAACCAGTTAAAAAGTCAATAAGCACAGCAATTAATTTATGAGAGACCCTTCATATCATAGCTGCCCTGCTGTATAGATTTTTCCCTCCCTCTTCCCTTCTACATAAAAGCTTTGAACATTCTCAGAAGAGAGTTATCCAAACATGTTCTGTTATCAAAAGTTTAACGGAGGTACATGATTCCTTCACACACAGTTTTCATCCTTGGAAGGTCACAGAATGGAGTGTTTTTAATAGGCATGTTGAGAAGTTCAATTGATTTCCCTTAGAAGTCTCAAATCTAAACGTTACTTTTAGGATACAGAGTAGGTGATGACGCTGCTGCATACATTACCAGACTGCATATTTAAGAGAGCATGCATTTGCGCTTAGTCCCAATGCTTGGGACCTGCTGTCATTCTTTGCCAAAGACAGACAGCAGGTCCCAAGCAAAGGTAGAACTGTAACACAAAAAGAAGTAACACTCTAGTAACCTGCTTCTAAAGAGCTACCTCATTTAGCTGATTACTTAGCTGTTCCTATCACCACGAGCATGAACACACCAACCATAAAATCATTAACCCCTCGAACTGATAGGAAGCTTATTACACCAACCCATGTGGGTTTGATTAGCAACAAAGCACAAGAGATGCCCATGTGTTATTGTTAAAGTAGGTACCGGTGCCAAGGAGGAGAGTGCGTCATGAACGACCTAGTTATATGACTCTGCTCTAAATCCATGGGCAAAGGGATTAAACAAAAAGTGGTTTAACTTAAAGGGAATTTTAAAGGCTCATCAAGAAAACTGAGAATTAAAAAAAAAAAAAGTTTGTGGGTTGTCACTTTGGGGTTTTGGGGGCATTCTGGGGGAAAAATACTTGAGTTTGAAAGTCATGTTTTGTCTCACCTAGACTATTTCATGGTGAGTGGAAAACCAGTAAAATACAAACATGATAAAAGCCACAGCAGAAGAAAACTGAGTAACCGAGAGGTCTTAAACCTCTCCTGTTAATAACCTATTGGCAACTCCATGGAACCCATTTATAGCTTCAGTAAACAAACAATCTGGAGAAAAAAAAATAGATACTTGTTATATCAATCTAACCAACACATTATCTACATGTGATAAAAACATTACATACAAATACTTCAGCAAAAGCAACAAACACGGTAATTCCAGACTGAGGGTTAAGTAAAACAACAAGAAAAATTAAAGCCTCACATATTTAAGAAAGTCACTACATTATCTTTTTCTCCCTTTTAAAATGTCCTAATTATTTATAAAAATGTTCAAAATATTTCTATTCATACTTTAGAAAAAACAATATGTTTGGAATGTATTTAGTACATTTTCATCTCATTTTTTCCTGGGGTATGAACATAATCTTTTTAAGTAAAAACAAAAATCTCTTCTTACCAAGGAAGAATATTATATAGGGTTAGATTAACCTTTTATAACTGATTAAATGATAGGCTATTCTTGACTTTCATAACAAAATTTCTTACAGGTAACCTGAAAAAAATAGGAAACATATCCCCCCCCGCCCCCCCAACCTCTCCCTCTCTCTAGTTTATACATAAAATACGTTTGCACTCACAAAATAATCAATCCAAGTTTTTGGAGAGAACACACACAGTTTTCTATATAATTTCATACTCCACGCAATCACAGACTGACTGAAAAACTATTTTTTATCCAGAATTAATATTTGAACAACATGCCTCATTTGAAACAAACCAGCACACAATCAAGCAAAGAGCTGGTCAATATTTCACAGTATTTTTAGCAATCAAAGAGGAGGAACATTTAACTGCTGCTATATTCTATTTCAGGTTTTTGGTTTGGTTTGGTTTTTTTTATCAAACCCACAACCTGACTACCTTTGGCTGCTAAAGGTAATACACCTTCTTTTAGAAACCTTTTATTAGATAAACCATAAAAAAATATTTTTAAGCCCTCTTCTAAAGAGGTTTCTATACTGACTGGTCATGACTTAGCCTGTACACAGAACTCTGGTAAAATTGCATGGCATTGGAATACATCAACCTTCTGTGGCCGTCCAGGAATCAGCCCATGAACCACAGTTTGAGAAATGCCCCTTAAACAGAGACAAATTCCCAGCAGGCCTGTCTTCAAAGCAAGTGGTTTGACATGAAGCTGAGTGAAAGCTGGCTTTTTTTCACACAACCATGTAGGTCTGTTTGAACTGGAAGCTCCAGCATTGCGTTCAACAAGTGGGGAAAAAAGGTCTGTAGTCACAACCAAAACTGAGGGGAACACGCAAAATTTGTCAAACCAGCCCATGCCAACTCCTCCTGCATTTGCGTGCTTCGATATGTGAAACTGCTGCAGGTGCAGAAGGCAAGGCCAGTGGGAATTGATCACTTACTACTTACCTTTGAGCTGAGAGATCTGCTGAGGATGCATAATCCAGGTCATATTGTGCTCCAGAGAGGATCCTCTCTCAAAGATTTTTCCAGCAATATTGTGGCTCAGATACTTGTGGCTTTGTCTCACAGCTATTCACCGTGCATATGACACCATTCTCTCCTTTTACTGTCCAGTGGGTTGGTGCTCTCATACTTAAAATTAGACAGCTCATGTTTATTCCTATTGTTTGTCACAACTAATTAGTAGACGAGGGTTGCAATTCAGGCACCAAAGAGTTCAGTGACTTGTCTGCAAGTTGTTCTTGACCTTACTAATGAATCTGTTAATATTTAAGTTGGCAACAGCCAACCTGCAGCTTATGAACTGGACAGGGTTTGCTAGCAACTCACACTCCAAAACTTCAGCTGACCAGCAGCAGGGATGCTCTGGCAGTAGGAACTGCCTGATAATCTGAGTCCCTGAAATGGACGAAGAGAGCAACTGCTGAGGTCAGTGCAGGTGGACTGCCTAGGACATGGCTGCGGATGAAGATCTTCCCCATCCTGCTGCACAGCCGAGGATACCTTCAGTGATCTAGTCTCACCTCCTACCTGTGAACTAATCCAATGCACCTCCTGACTGAGATAACACAGTGTACCAGCTTCTGGCTATGTGCACATTTGGGTTTATGGCTAGTGCGATCAGACTTGTTAAAATGTCATTTAACGCTTCCTTTGGGACACTGGGTCATGTGAAACAGCTTTGGAGCTTCACCTGACCTGCAATCATAAGTACATCACTACTCAAAGTCCAACCCCATCTTTGACAAGTGCCCACAATGGCACCCATGGCAGGTTAGGACCACGCTAGGCGCGTATAGCGTCTCTCTCTGATGTTCTCCCATACGCCAACTGCTTTCAGTTCAGACACTTCCTCATTACATGGCATCACACACTTTTGTTTCACAGAGCCGAGGCCAAACATATTGGAAAGCTTTTGTCCATTTTTGTTTTCTTATTAACTTAGTAGTAAGCCAAACATATTCCAAATTGTCAGAACACATGAAACATTCACAGGAAACCCTGCAGTGAATTAACCCAAGACTTCTCTCTATTGTATCCCCTCAAAATGCTTTGCAGATACATTGGATATTTCAGAACTGGGTGACTGAGCAATTTTGCTAGCCACATGTCTAATAACTAGTAAAGATGTCCTAATAATTTTGCTTAAATGTCTATGTAGGCTAAAGTGCATCGGAAAAAACATATTTAGACATTGTAGTAACCTAGTTTCTTTTACAAGTGAGTTTAAATAGTGTTTAAGGTGATTTCCAGGCTACTTGAATTTTCTGAAAGGTCTCTTATTTTACTCACTTGGAGCCCACAATCCTTTCAAATCTTCCCAGCTGTGAGTTTGACAGATTATATCACAAAAGTCCTTTTCCCATCCCTTTTTTTCACTCTCTTCACGTTCTGCTTTTGGAAAGATTGAATTTCTTTCAGTCATAATACAGTATGAATAATTGAGTTTCCTCCACTGCTACCCCCATTCCCATCTCTGAAGTTTTTCTCAGAAGCCTTTATACAATAACATCCTCACAATCCACATCTACAGACTGTGCTTTGGAAAGCCCTCCCCTCAATTAAAAGGCATGCTGACATTGGGAATAGCTTTTGACGGATTCATGGTATGTCAGAGACGTGGGCTACAGTCACAGCCTTAGTTGAAGGTATTAGTTTTAAACTGCCGTATCACTTCCAAGAGATGTGGGAAAACAGTGGCATCAGTTTATGAGCACTTTTGTTGATAATACCAACGATGACACTTCAGAGGCTGTTTGTGCTGAAAATAACTGAATCATCATCTGACTCACTTCCAGAAACCTGACTAAATTAAATGAATTATGGATGCGCTGTACCAAAATACAAAGCACTTTTAGCAAATCCTTAAAGATGTTCTTTCTGAAAATGTGTTGCAACCCAAGTATCATGTTCCAGTTTCAGCTCCAATACACAAATTTTCAAAATGAATTTTCTCATACTCAAAGTTGAATTCCATTCGTTCTCAGAGTTTTCTTTGCCACACCTGTATCCCTCTTCAGATTCCTGAAGACAGATCAGAATAGTTGGTATCTCAGCAAAACTAAGAACATACTTTTCACCTTCTTTTATTAGAATGAAATTCTTAAGAACTACTACATTTTTGAGAACATATGAGGGGTTCTTTGAAACACATGGGCTTTGGCACAAAAAAGAGTGCACCAGGATATATCTTTATCTTGAGAGTACCCCAGGAGCATAGAAGTACAACAGAGCCAACCATCCCACAGGAGTTTTACAAATAATGAAGCCAGTAGTATCAAATGGGTAAGAAATAGAGCAAGACATGGTGTATGAAGACCACACCACACCACATCTTGACCATGGACATGATGTGGACTCTTAGCCCAGGTTTAACTGTATTTGGCTGTAAAAAGAGTTGCCTCAAATACTTATTGCCGCTAAATAGCTTTCTTCTGCACAAAACAAATATGTTTCTCAGACTCTTTTTTTAACTCAGTGCTGATAAACTCGTTCCTCTGGCAAGGGAGAACAATTTCTGCTGCACTTCAAACTTTTGGAAGAATCCCAGAAAACCAGAGGAAA